TCGATCTATTTTACTAACAAAATCTCACAAGAATTTGCAAAATATCACGAGAGTTTGTAACAGAACGATGCATGCGCAAACAAGGATTCTTCTTCTTCTTCCTCTCAAATGAATACACAGAAGCATGGCGGGGGTGCAGGTGAAATGGAGTTCTTTCTGTAAAATTTAAAGACTGTAGTAGCCACATTTGCTCAGCCATGTCTTTGTGCAAATATGTTGTTGCCTTTTCTTTTTAGCGCTTTCAGGACAAAATTGCCCAAATTGCCAAGGCAGCGCATTGCACTCTAGTGAGCTTCAGATTCCTCTTCTCATTTAGCTTCCTGATAGACGAGTCTGAGTAGCGCCATCTCACTGTGGAGCTGAGTCCGACGTGGTTTTTAGACATACAGTGAGAGCAGGTAGATTGCATCAGAGCGTCGTGCTAAACATGCATCGTGAGCTGTGAACTCACGCTGTACGACGAAACCATTTGCAAGGTTTGAAAAAAATGCAGTGTATGCCTGGCTTAAGCCTATAGCAGTATAACTTTAGAGATAGCTCAGGATAACCTAAGCCACTCTAACTATAGGCTTTTTCAAAAAGCAAAGTTTTAAGCCAAACTAAAAAGCTTGAACATATTTCTGCTGTTCTTCCTGTTTTTCACCTCTCTTTACTACCTCACTTTTGAATTGATTTTAAAGTTTCATCATTGACTTGTAACACACTGGGAAAACATGATTTAAGCTGTATTTCTGACCTCCAGTAGCTTTACGCACATTTGAGTTCCCTGAGATCTACGGTCAGTTGCTTTTAGTTTTACTAACCTTTATGCTGGCCTGTTGAACTAATCAGGCCTTTGGATCATTTTATAATTGTTGACAATTCCTTTCATTCCATCTGTGACTGCATCTGCATCCTGCAAAGGGAAATTAACACTTTGAAAATAGTCAACTATAGAAACAATTTGTTCTTTCAGTGCTCCACAATTGAGCTCTCAGTGATGAAAGAGCACAAAAAACCACCAATCACTAATACATTTACATTTAATTATGTTTTTTTTTTTACCTCTTGTTTCTAACTAATCGGTTGACAAGGAAGACAAATTAAGGTTGTTAAAGTCCATTTCATTAAATGATTCCCTTAATCTTTGAAATATTAAGTGACTATCATGACAATATTATCAAATATTCTTTAGATATAGCGACTGACAAAATGTGGAATGTTTGGATTCGGGTGTCTCTGAATTTGTCAAATTAGAGTTTCACTGTTAACATTTTTTTGTTTTCATGCATTGTATGAGAGAGATGGAGAGTGCGATGAAGGGATGCCAGATGGAGTCTGGAGATGTATAATACAGAAGTGGAGTGTTAATGGAGATTTTGCAGAATGTTGTCCTATTAAGCATTTAGGCCTAAATCATACATTGCACGTCTCCACCAGCAGTTTTCAGTTTTTTGATAAGTGATTTAAAAAAAAAAACAACTATATTTTTATAGACTTTATTTTTATTCCTGTAACAGTGCAACCACTGTGTTTACAGTTCTTGTAATTCATTCTCCACTGCATTGCTTTTACTGGTCCTTTAATTCTGCTTCTAAGCCCTCAGTAAGCATAGCCTTCCAAATATGTAAAGTTATACTTCCTCATTTTGAATGCCTTTATTTGCGAATGAAAATCTGACAAGCGTGTGAAGTCTTATTCTTATATGGCATTAATGGGGTGGTAATCATGCTAATTAGTATTTCATGGAACACACACTCCCTAACACACAGGGCAACTGCATCAGCTTTTGTTGTGCAGTACAAGACCCAATGATCTTAACTCTCTATGGCATGATTTTTTATTTCAGGCAGAAAAAAAATGCTTCACCCTAGCTTTTGGGCCCTCGGGGATCCCTTATAATATATCAATCATAAAATGTGTACCTCTCTTCACACACTGATGCACATATGCACGTGCACATTCTTGTCTTGCCTGATCTCCATTGATTTTCAGTCATTTTCAACCCTTTCTATTCCCTGAGCATGTCAATAAGCATGAACCGAACTATTACCAGTGCATAGTATGGTAATGGTTTTGCATTTCTTGTAACAGTAGATAGTACATAAAAAATGTTATTATGGTTATAACTATGCATCTCTGTACCTCTCATTTCGTGACCATGTTATTGTACAAACAATAGTGATCTAAGTGCACAGTGTTGCCCAGAGGCAAGGAATGGAAAAACTACCATTTCAATGTATTGTGATTAAAAGGGGTTTTTACTCAGTCAAATCTGCTTCTTCACATATTCATGTGCATCACAGCTATTATTAATGCAAATTCAAAAAAGTTTTGAATTCTTAAAAAGTGAAATTTATCACCTTCTGCTAGCAGTGTGTCCCTGCTTGCAATGTTTTACCCTTAGATGAAAGCTCAAAGCTTTTAAAGTGATGTTTAACTTAAAAAAAATCCTTTCCCCTGGGTGACAAAGTCATAGGTCTGCTGCAAAACCTATATTTTGTTGCTGCGATACAAACAAAGCATAAACAGAGGTGTTCTGGAGTACTGCAGTCTTTAAACAGTGGTTATGTTTTATTGTCTATCCTCTTTCACTCAAGGTTTATGGTATTTATTCTCCATGTTAATAACTGACTTTAACTCTTAAATAATGCAAATATGAAATTATATTTAATGCTGAAAATGTAATACATTGAAAAAGAGGATTGGAAATGATTGTGTTTTAAGTCCTGGCTCAGTTCTAAGTAAATATAATTGTTTTTCATATTTTTTGTATATTTTCTCCCTTAAACTGATTTTATCTACAGTTATATGGATGGAAAAAAACCCCCTCTAAAACAATAAGCTTGTTTTACAAGCATTTCATATTTCATGTTTTGACCTCTTTCCATTGCAAACCCATTAGAAACTATAAACAAATGAAATTAGATCTTGGTCAGTCAGAAAAAAATCCTCAACATTTCAAATTACCCGTCTGTTTTCCTGGTGTTATTTTGCTGGTTTTCTCGCCGATTCTATCCATGTTTATGTTTGTGTAAACCAGATCGTCTAAGTCCTCCATTAGACATCCAGCTGGAGACACTCAACTGTAGCGCCTTCAGTGTGCGATGGAAGATGCCCCGCAGACATGTCAGCACAATCACTGGATACAAGGTAAATACAAACAGCTTCTACATGCATGCATGCATAGTACAATACCTGCTATACACTCCACACATTTTATGATAAAAGTGTGTTTTTAAAAAAATATTTCTGTCTGTTTTCATCTATCTGCTGGTGTTTGGTGAAGATGACTTATTTATTTTAATTTAAATTTTTTTTGAGTGTTGAAGTCCTTCCACCACATCAGAACATGATAAAGAAAATGAGACAGAAAAAACAGAAACACATTTTGAATCCTCAGAAAGGTTTTGAAAAATAAATCAAATTTCCACTTTTTTTTCCTTGAGTGGCTGCTTATTTCTTTCTGCATGGCAGACACACTTTTCTCTGCCTCTAAAGTGCCCATCCAACCAAGTGTCCAGGAAGATGGCCATGAGGAATAAGGACACACTATTTTTAACTTTCATGTGCTTGAAGGAACTCTTTTATCGCCGTGCTTATATCTTTCTTTCTCAGGTGCAATATTGGTTGAAAAGATGCAGTCAAATAGAACACACAGTACATAAAAACCATAGACATAGGATTTTTAAAATGTTTTTCTTGTACAGACGTATTGTGATTTTCTTTTAATCATTACAAAACTATTGTGTCCATGCTTAGTTAATGCATACTTTCCATCATTTTTATAATGCACCTTTTCAGGACTGGTCATGCTTTTGCGCTTCTCCTTAAAGCTTTCGTAACAAACGCTAGAAGTTTCTGTCCTTCACTCCTTGAATAAACCATTAAGAAATTGTGGATCAGTATAACTGTGTGGGCTGTAGCTTTGGCCATATGTCTGCACTAAGAGGATTAGTTTGGACACCAGCTTCCAAAGAACTTAGTGGGAGGCGAATGTGTTTTGTTTCTTTTTTGGTTTATTAAAATATGTTTTTCCTTTTATAGACTTTTTTTATTAGCCATATATAAACTCTCCCTGTTTTGCCCTTATAACACAATAACTAACTAAAAACAATGGATTTATGTGTGTCGACTGTTCAGATCTTTTACACAGAGATAAAGAATGGACGCCCAGTTAGTACAACATCCATCATGGAAGTGCCTCTGAGTTTGGACATGCTAACCACTGTGAGTACACACTAATATATTTTTTCTCTTCAAAGCCTTTCCCAAAACTATGTACACTATACTTCTATTTTTAAAAGTTAAAGATGGACAACATGTTAAAAGAGAGTAAGCATTGTTGGAAAGACAAGTCAGTTAAATTATCATGCTGCTCTCTTTCTGCACATCTCTGATGTTATTTTTCAAATATATTTCAATTTATTTATTTATGTGAAATTCATATTTCAAATACATTTTAAAATATCTGTGGCTGTATATTGGTTATTTTATTCTCCAGGTGCACAGTTTTAAATCATTAAAATACTTAACAGTACAGTATTTTATTGTTTATCGTTTAACTCTTCACTAATATGTTATTTTTACAAATTTTTTTAAGGTCCACATTTGTGTGACAATTTTTTCTATAATCTTTTTGCTGCTGTAAACACCAGAATTTCCCCATTGTGGGACAATGAAGGGATTTTCTATTCTATTCTAAGATACATAGATTGTATATTTTCTGTACAAGATTATAGAAGTTTTTCTATGGAATTAAATAGTAATTTCTAATTTAGATTTTTGGTACTAGAAGTAAAATAAAATACCAGTGATATGGCACTCATAGGATTTGCAATCATTTTCTTTTTTGATGTAGCAGAAGCAAAGATCATGTTGATGAAAGAGCATTTTATCATTATGTTTTCATTCTGCTAAACGAATAATACGAGATATAATGTATAACAAAAAGCAATGGTGTGTTATGTTACAGTGTCATCTAATTGAAAGGTTATGCACAATCTTGAAAAAAGTTCATAGCTTTTAAACATGTCACATTAGAGTGACCAAATTCTGCATCCTCGATGTTGATTTAATATGATTGAATGTGAAGAAAATTATGCATTGTTTTTAAAAATCTTTAGAAGGGAAAGTCGTGCTACTCATTCAGGGTGAGGTAAAAACTGATATGCAAATCTTTAAAAATATCAGACCACTGTCAAATACATCCTAGCAAAACAAAAATGGCTTGGTATGACACCAAACTCACCAGGATATGGCTTTCCTTTTACAGTAAACTGAGAAAAAGTCTGACAATCTGTAGAGTTCAGCAGTTCAGGGGGTTAAATCTGTTTGGGGGAAAACTTTAGTTTAATTTCTCCATGTGGGCATAAAAATCAGACACCACATATTACCCACCAAAACACGATTGGGTCGTTCAAAACAGGCTGTGGTTCTGAATAAAGCTATCCAGAAGAAAACAATAGTTTGAGGTCATAAAAGACACTAGACTAGGATCGAGGTTTACCTTCCAGCAAAACCATGACACTGAATGTTCAGCAAGAGCTACAATAGAAAAGTTAGGATTACTCAAAACTGCTCTTAAAACACATTTCTCTGGTGATGTGATGACCCTTGAGTTCACGAGTCATATGTGGAAGGAGCAAAAATATTAGATACAGTGCTGCAGCGAAACACTACATTACACTTCACCCTGAAAACAACATCCTTCGAGGGAAACTTGGCAGTGTCAGCGTCCTGATTTAAGAAAGATTTCTAGAGATGGGAGAGGGACATTCGTAAAGATAAACTTAATGGATAGGGATAAGAAAAGGAAAATACTTTTATGCATTGCAATAGACTTGAAACTGGGGCAAAAACCAACACTGTAGAAGGATTTAGATTCAAGTATATTTTTAATGTAAAAATAACCAGACTGAATCCATCAGAGGATCTGTGATAAGGCTTTAAAGTGGATGTTCAAAAGATCTCTCCATCCAATCTGACTGAACTTGGGCATTTTGCACAGAACTGCTGGCATTTACTAATGAGCAAACTAAATAAACTGGCACAAACACATTCAAAAGCTATAGGTGCCCTTGAAAGTGGTTCCAAAGGTATTGTTTTAAAAAAGCTTATAATGCCAAATCTTTGCTATGAAAACAAGAAAACTATGTGTGTTTTACTTTCCATGCCACAGCAATGTATTACTGTTTTGTTGGTTTATCAAAGTAAATAAAGGTAATAAGAAATGTTGAGATCTGAAAATCTTAATAGCTTTATCGGTTTATTTGTTTATGTTTATAAAAGGAGTTGTCAACCCAAAACATTTTAAGGATTTGGGTCTTTCTCTTTTAGAGTATTTTAATTGCTTGTTTTTTAAGATGAAAAGAATGTTGCAGGTATGCAGAGTAGGAGCAAGGAGAAGAGAGAGGAACAGGAAATAAAAGGCATCTCTTTCATTAATCATCATCTTAGATCTTTAGTAAACAATTTAAAAGAACTCCATAACATAGCAAGGACCCAGCAAGAATATTGGCAATGCAGCATTATGTATTTTATTGAAATGTGGCTGCAGGATCATATCTTGGAATCCAGAGTCTCTCAAAATTCAACAGAATTGGGTTGGCAATGATTGTGAACAACAGATGTCTTCCAGGACATGTGACTGTGAAGACTTTTTCCTGTAGCCTGGATATTGAGCTGTTGACAGTTGGTTTCTCGCATTATTATTAGCCCAGAGAGTTTACCACTGTTTTTGTAGTTACTGTTAATATGGAAGTTATGTCCCCCTGAAGGCGGCTGCGCCTCGGAACTTCCCTACCGGTTCTTTTCCTGGGAGCAAATTATTTGAAAGTATATGGTAAACTATATGGGTAAAACCATATAAAAAAGGACCATAAAAACAGGAGTAAAAAAGTTACAGAGTTTATTCCAGATCAGGTCGTTACAGGACAGAGAAAATGCTTGGAGCTTGCACAGCTGTGGGCTCAAAAACACGTCAGCGAGCGTCCGGCAAAGATTGAGCAAAGATTGAGCCCCAAACAAGGTCATCTCCTCCTTCTTGTACCTCATGAGTCCATGTTTTGCATCAGGTGGATGCTTAACTTACCGTATCAGAAACTGATACGCCATCCATGTCTTGAACTTCATGCATCTTGCGTCTATGCCCAAGGATTACAGATATGTCTCCTTTATCAGTCCGGCTCCAAGATGTGCCCCTATCCTGTGTATTTCTAAAGACACAAAGGCTGTCCTGATTAGATGACCTCCATACACACAGTGACATCCACAATGTGAAGGAAGGCGTCCTACTCTGTCTAATCTTGCTAACAGAATAACAGTGCACATGATGTATAAAGAATAAACTTAACATTACTGTTTACATTCCACCTTCTGCTGTTGCCGACATTGCATGTGAGGTAATCAGTTAGGTGGTGCTAACTCCAGACACAACAGCCGAATGCATTTGTGGCAATAACTGGTGATTTTAAATATGTCTCACTCTCTGCTACGCTTTCAACATTCCAACCATTTGCCAGCTGCTGCACCAGAGAAAATCAACGTTTGGACTTGTTTTATGCAAATGTCAAGGACTCCTACATCTCTGAAGTAAGACCTCCTCTTGGGAAATCACAATCAGATCACAATCTTGTTTTTCTCTGCTCAGATTATAAGCCACTTTATAAGAGACAACCTGAATTAAAAATAACTGTAAAAAGATGGTCACAGGAGGCTGCAGAAGCCCTGTATAGTTGTTTTGAGGCTACGGACTGGGATGCATTGTAATAAAAGAGGATATCAACACAATGACTGAGTGTGTGAGTGATTACACCATCCCTACCAGAACAGTGAAATGTTTCCCAGTGATCTGAAGCAACTGCTCAACAAGAAAAAAATGAACCCTTTAAGTAGCGGGGCAGGGAATTAATGAGGAGTATACAGAAGCAACTTAAGGTGATGATACGAGAAAACAAGGAGGCATCCAGGAAGAGGCTGGAAATCAAGCTCCAGCATAACAATATCAGAGGTGTGTGGTCAGGGAACAAGAAGTTCACAGGCTTCAAGCAGATGGATGATCAGACATTTGGAAGTCTGGACAGAGCAAATAAACTGAATACATTCTTCAACAGGTTCAGTTTAGGAACAAGCTCAGCACCCCTCTCTCTTGCCCTCCTTTGCATTACTGTCCTGCTTCTATGAGTTAATTATCAGCAAAATCTTCTGATTTTGCTGATAATGAACTTTCACCTGTCTCTAAAGATGAAGAGGCAACTGGGGAGGCTGAATCAATCAGCCCTAGAGTCCTGAGGGCCTGTGCAGAGCAGCTCTGTGGGATCCTACAGCACCTCTTCACTCTTTGTCTGACTCAGGAGACAGTTCCAGTGATGTGTAAGACCTCCTCCAGTCTTCAATGACTATAGACCTGTTGCCCATCCCACATCATGGAGGTTCTAGAGAGACTCTGTTGCTTCAACTCAGCAACTGATTAATGTATATTTGAACTAGGTGCACTGATTTAGGGCCAAAGGCTTTATAGTGTCTTAAAACCACATGAAGTATGTAATATTTTCGCAAAATTTATTCACAGGTTCATCATTACAGTAACTACATTAAATCTTTAAAATTTAAGTAACAGTGTTAAAGTTAAGAGTTTGGGAGATGAACAAAAAACATGATCAATGATGAAGATTTAAAGATTTCCAATATGTTATATCTAGTTATCATGGTAATGGATGTTGCTGTGCCCTTTGTCCAACACAAATTTGGTCTTAAAGAGACTACTGCAGATATTACACACAAAAAAAGATCTAAAAATAAGTCAAGATTTCTTAAAATAAGTGTATTTGCCTGTGATTTATGCATGTAATTAAGATGTTATACCAATGTTGTACCTTAAAATGTTATAGTTAGGTATTATGTACTTGAAAAAGGATGATGGAGTTTTTTTTTGTTTGTATTTTTAAACATAAATCATCTTATTCCATTGACAAACTGTCTTATCTAATAACTTAGATTAGAATGTTTGTATTTAACCTTGATCTTGAATATTCTCTATCAAGAGTAATAAGGATGTTTGCATAAAATGTCTCATCTTATAAAATACATTATAAGATGAGACGATTACATTTATATAGGTAATTTTAAGGCAGCACCTCATAACTCTTCACCCAGATATTGTTCATGATTAATTTGAGATATTTCTAATTATTTTAAGGTCAATATATAGCACTTGGCACATGTTGATGCTTTGTGCAAACTATGCTACTCAAATACTCGCTAACGTAACCAGAGATAAACAGATTGTCACTGAATGGATGGTGTGACTCAGAGAACCACTACATGCAGTCTAAGCTCCCCTTAAACACCAGTGACCAGTGGCCTTCAGGGTGCTAAACCTGGAAGTTACAGGTCTTAGCGCCTAAAAGGTTCACAGTGCTGCTTTGAAAATTGATTAATTGCAAACATTTGTAGAGTGGTCCATCTTTTAGACAAGTCTAACTATTTACCTGTTCATTTCTTTGAGGGAGGAATTGTATTATAATCTTTGTTCTCTTATAGGGGCAATTTGATGGACAAGCAAGTTTTGTAAGTAACATTTAGCCCATTTGTAATTATTGTTCCCTCAAAGTTCTTCTTATAATATAATAATTTATCCTTTCAATTTCCTTAATCTGATTTTTAGGATGTAGACATTGGAAACCTAAAGGTGAATTCCAACTACAGAGTCAGCGTTGGTGCATACGGCTGGACCGGGGAGGGCAGACCAAGCATGCCCAGAGACATCAGTACTGCCTCACATGGTAAGACTATGTGAGTGGAAGACATCAGTTTAACCATAATTCTAAATATTTACCTGCATAGTATATTCAGTCATGAATAAAATAATTTTATTTCGTTTTATTTTGCCAATAGAGATGTGTATGCCCCCTTCACCACCAACTCAGCCAGTCGTCATGGCCGTATCAGACACAGAGTTGGCCTTATCATGGCAGGAAGGAGAGAGTCAGGGAAGCTCCCCTGTTCTTCACTTTTTGGTGGCTTACATCAGGTCTGTCAAAACTTATTTAACATTTGCAAACTGAGAAAACGGCAGTTCATAAAATGTCAGGCACCTTAAACAGATTATTGCACACAGGAAATGAGAAAAAATTGTGTTCAGTAAAATAGGTTGAACCGAAAAGGCCCCTGTCTAAATGTATGGAGGGAAGTCAGAGAAGGCATGCGCATAAAAGAAAATAACATTTTTAAATGAATAGCTTTTCCATCAGGAAATTTTACACTGAAATTGTACACAATGACTATATTAGATATCACATAATATATTTAACATGTACATGTGTCCCATGACTGAATTGTAAATGCTTGGAAACTGAAACCCTAATCCTCACCCTCTGTTCAGTGATAGCTTTTCTCTTTTCACAAAGTTGGCTTCCTTGATGCCTCTTTCAAACTACCTGTCCTCTTTGTTCAAAATCTGAACACCTTGGTCTTTAAAAATTGCGATTTCAGCTTCCAATCATTTATGATTCAGTCATGGAACTCATTCCAAGGAAATTACATAAACACTCCCATTATGATTCAAAAGGCCAATCGCATAGACCAAGCACAATAAAAGGCTCCAAGAACCCAGAAGAATAAGGGGTAGCTATTTGATTTACATATGACTTGGAATTTGTGCCGAAGAATAGACCTCTATGCTGCTTAAATACATCAGGGCAGCTAAAGATGCTTTGGTGCATGCCAACAATATTGACAAAGACTTCTGGATAGGTGTCAAAATATGTTAAAGAAAACAGAGCAAAATTCCGGTTGCCTTCCAATTTAAGCCCGTTTGTTGTTGTCATGACCTGAATGACTGAGAATTTACACAGACATATTCAAGATGGATTCTGTAGATATTCAGAAGCGACCGGCATTCAGCTTAACTCAGACACTAATGATATGTATTAGTGAGTGCTATGAGAATGCAAGAAGAGTTCTATGTTTTGGCCACAGGCAGTTGAATTATTAGGAAACTCTGTAATACATCATTAAACATAGTTACAATTACATTTTGATATATTAAAATCTTCTGTTCTGGTTTAAGAGCATGCTGTGCAGACTGGTCATGAAGTGGGGTTTAATCTGTACCAGTTAGATATGGGACATTTTTTTTTTTTTTTTTGGACGCAGAAACAGAAATAATAATAATAAAAAAATCTAAACATTTCCACATTAACTTGTTTGAAGTGTGCAGTTATGCTGAGGATGTCATAGGCCTAGTAATCAACCACACACCAACCCACATCAACGTGTCTGCACAGTTGAAAGCTAAAAATGGTAAATGTCAAGGAATCCCGTGAAGAACTGAATGTTTTTTTTTTATCTGGAAAAATATAAAGCAGTTAATTATTCTTACTTTACTGCTTGAATACAGCATCGTTATTCATTTATTTTACTCTCATTGCATACATTTTATATAACTGGAAACCAAAAATCCCTAACTTAACTATTTTTAATAAAGGTGGCCTATTTTATCAAAGTATTTGAATGAAAACTACTTAAAACACAAACATTAAAAAAAATTCCAGGGCTTCAATGTTGCCTTTGGAAACAAAAATAGGATATCTCTTAATGGGTAATTTAAAATAGGTAGTAAACTTAGTGACAAACAAAACTACTAGGATATTCAGCCATCAACAAATGTTTAGCATTTAGGGCCTACCTAGAGGCTGTTGTCTACCCTGGTACTTTAAATTGATCTTAGTCCTTGGAAGCAAGAAAAAAAAAAACGCTTTCCCAGAAAACTAACCTTAAATAAATGAAGAGAGTTAAAACATTAAATATTCTTCACAAGGTGTCCCTTTGAATTAAAAGTTTAAACACTGTTAATTAAATTAAACATATATATTTTCCAAATAGCATTTCTACTGTTAGTTTCTCCCAAGTCATAGTAGTGAATATACTATTGGTTGTTTTTCAGTTCTTTCCCCCTGTGAACATTTATGCCTTCACCCTCTGCTAATTCACCTCATATAAACCTCACAACTCTTGTTTTCCTTTAGCTCCGGCAGCACACACAATAAAGCTTTAAGTGTGCAGTCTGTCCTTCAGCCCACTGCTTTGTAAATAAGCTATTGGGGGTGGAGTGAGGTCCATTAAAAACATAACTCAACTCAAAGATGTCTGACACAGCTTCATCCTTAGGCTCTATCAGCCAGATCTTTTAAACTGTATATGTTTGGTTTGGTCATGCTGTAAGTTTCATTCCTTAGCCCTCCTGTTGGTACATTAAGCTTGCATGCGACCCTCTTTTATAAATAATGCAATGCAATGTAAAACTAAGCTGATCACCTCCTATCTCTTTATCCATCAGATGAATTATTTATCTAAGTGTTGGGCAATACACAAATAGACGCATCTTATAAAATAATAAACCTTTTATTTTACATTAATAATGATTCTGTGGGTGGTCCATTTAAGGTTAAAGGTTGAAATATGTTCAATCGTGCTTGATTGTAAAAATCAGTTTTAAGTGCATAATAATAGCTAAGAAAAAAACTAATAGTCTGAGATTGAGAATATGCAGATCTTTTTTGTATGCATCATTGCTGGTCTGCTCAGTGTAACCACTTGTGTTTAGACACAGGGGTCAGTTGGGACATGAGAAAGAATGAATTTCATTCTTTTTCTATTAGTGTTCAGCCTCATAGACACACATGTCTAGACACTGTCTGCAGAGAAGCCAAGGACACAATGAGTAGATTGTGTTCATACGATGAATTCCTAAATCTTAGACGGACAAGATTGAAACTATTTGTTTTCATTAAAATAATACAGGTTAAAAAAAATGGGAAGTATTAAACAAGTTATCAAAATGCAGTGCTGATTTATTTATTTATTTTTTTTTGCTGCAAAGCTTTTGATTGCATATCAACAAAGATACCAAAGGGAACTGTTACGTCCAGACATGAATATGTGTCTCTGTCTTTTTTTGCATGTGCTGCTATTAATTTAGAAGGGCCATCGCAGATGCAGATCTTTCCCCTTGTACATCTAAAGATGCCTCCCTGAAGAGACATCTTAAGTGTTTTGTTTTGGCTGAAAATGTATAAACGCAAAAAGCTTGATAATAGTTATAATTTTTTCTCTTTAGGCAGATTTTCTTAAAAAAGAAATCCGATTTTTATCATTTGATTGAATAATTTCTATCTTTCACCACAATGAAATAAAATATAAGCTTTGCCTTTTTGATAAACCATTAATTTGTATTTTATCATTGCAGAAGCAACAAATAAAGCAAAACTAAAATCATTAACATATTTTTACTTTTTATTCACTTTTTCCATTCAAATCCAAAAAGAACATTCTATAAAAAAATTTCACGTATTGTAATATTGTAATGAGATGTAATTTGTCATTCAGTATTAGAATGCTCAGAATATAATTTCAAAATATGATTCAAAGACAGAAAACAGTGTGATGTCTCTTTGTTTTGGTGTTTCCTATATCTTTATGTTTAATACTTATTATTTCTTACCTAGGCCAGAAATGGACACAGAGTGGACTTATATACGTGAGCCCATTGAGACCAATTCCATGGTTTTAAAAGGCTTGTTACCAGAAACAGAGTACCAGTTTGTTGTCAGAGCGGTCAACATGCATGGTGTGAGCCCACCAAGTCACATCAACATCCCTGTGCGAACCCTTGGTAAGGCCAGATGCTTACTGTATCTCTGAATCTATTTAAAAGCTGAAATACTACATTTCAGCAAGTCCTTGGAAAGGTTTGGTTTGAAAAAAATGTCAAGCCAGTGAGTTTTTGTATAAAATGTGTATGTTCTTTGAATCATCATGCCTGTAGAGTTACTCATTGAGAAATAGTTAGATGCAACTACGGTAAAACTTGTTTTGCAGCTAATGACGCACTGAGTAGAGCGATATTGCCCCTCATACAGTCATGCTGTTAAGACCACGTGGGCTGTTTGGCTTTGTAGCCAATGAAATAAGGTTTCAAACAAGGGTAGACAGGGCTGGGTTGCATAAATCAGAGCCGTGTTAACGGCTTGCGTAAGAGTGAAATACACAGCAGAGATCAGTGCACACAGTTCAATGCAGATCATTTAAAACGCTCCAATATTTTTGAAGTTTGGATGCTGATTTTGTTTTATTACAATGCCGAAAAAAAATGCAGCTCAGAAAATGCACTGGGGCTTATTTTAGCTTGACAAGCAGCAGATTCCCTATTTTTTAATAGATTTTTATGTTATTTCAGGTTTATAAATGTTACATTTTGTTATATACTCTGATTCTGAAAAAAAGTGGAAAAAGACTTGCTTCATAAATGTTTCGTGGCCATCAAAATGCTTTAGTGTTATTCTATGGGTCAAATAGTTGAGTAAAAGCATTTGGCACAATTTGGCACAATCTAGCACATATGGAGAGGTTTGGAGATGCTGGTGACACTAAAAGTTCAAAGCCCCACAGCTCTAAAACTGTTGTACTGCTGTTCAAAAAGACCTATTATTTTCGAGAATAAAACAAAACAACTTTGAGTCATGTTTGAACTGATGCAGCTTAGCCTGTGTTTTACTTACCCCATTTTACTTTCAAATGATGTATCACACATGTAACGTGGTCTTACAGTTTCTTAGTTATTTGCTTTTCCATTTGGGTATGCAAAATAGGTCAGGATTACTTCAAATTGGGTGGGTGTAAAAGATTTGTTTTAAGTTCCTGCGAAGGAAAACCGGCTAATTGCATTAAGTCATTGACTTGCAGGATATGCTCCTCCTGGATGAGCTAGCGGTAACAACATTCGCAGGAACAAGTCTAGTTGAGCTTAAGTTTCAGATGTCTGAAAAGTACTACATTTATGTCTTCTGACAATTATATGCAAGTATAATTATTAGAATGTGGAGCCCAAATAGATAAATGTTTTGTGTAAAATATGCACCTTATGGATGAAGTTTATGAGTGTCATTATCCACATTTTAATGAGTCTTATACTAAAATAAGTTGAAAGGAAACACAAACAGGACAAAGCCATAACTAACGAATTGCATAAACATGCAGAATACAGTTTGATGATGCACTTGAGAAAAAAAAAAAAAAAAACCTAAATTTTTTTAAACATGTCGCCCAATGACACAAAAATTTATAGATTTGGCTATATCGATAATTGTCATTTTTTTACTCATAAAAAGGGATTCAGGTATCTGTTGGATCTATTAAAGCATCTTTAGTTTCTTTATCACCACTGTTTCCTATTAACATGGACATGAAAAAATGGTCATGTCAAGTTCTGCAAGTGAAGTTTTATTTTAATTCATAATAGGTAGCAATATTTTGTTATTTGGGCTATTTTGTGTTTTCCTTATCAATTCAGATTCCTCTTTTGCAATATTTTTTGTTTATTTCTCCAGTTTTTTAGTTTATTTCTGCTGTTTGGCACTTTTAGGCAGTTATGGCTCTACTTTTGCTCATCTTTTTTTCTGTTATTAGAGAAGTTCTCTTATTTTTTCCTTTGTACTTTTCACTTTTTATCTATGCGTAAACCTTTCTCGATCAGCCAGAGCCTATTCAACTATTTCCCTATTGTCTCTGTTGGGTTTTAATCCAGAGAAATGTGAGTTTAAAAGATTAAAAGGAAATAATCAACACAGAGACAGGGTTTTGTGACGTCAGCGTCTGCAGAGCGGAGAGAAGCTGCTGGCTCGGAAAACCAGCACCTTCTCACACAGATCCCTTCATGGCAAAGCCTTTTATTAAGAGTTTACAACATCATAGGGCGGGCCTAAAACAGAAGACCCAGTAATGATTATCTGGGAGGATGCAGGTAATAAGATAGTGTGAATTGACCAACTGGCTGGATGGAAGTCACACAACCGTGTGATTCTGCCTCATGACCTACAGCAGGTCATAAGAGTTTATGACCCTTCTGGTTGAAACACAGGATAGAAATGTAGGATCTTCTTTCTTTCAATGTTTCATATGTCCACACAATAATTTTATAATTATCACTCTAACAGTCTCCACCTGTGCCCAGCTATACTTAAGTAGACATGCACTATAACTCCAGCATTATGTTTCAAGACTCTGCCAAGGCTCTAAGGACCCTGCGCCTCACTTAGGCTCTAGGTACTCTGGACAACACAAACACTCCAAGCATCGGTGGCCCCTTACTGGTTCCAAGTTTAATATTCTCCACCATGATTCCAAGCTCTCTTGTGTCCATCATGGCTTCAAGTTTCCTAGTCCACTTTTTAATTTTCTAGTCTCCACATGTTCCACATGTTCATGTTCCTCCGAATTTTGCTTTATGCTGGTTGAGTTCCATGTGTGAACAGTTTCTCGGCACAAATCAACCTCAGAATGCCTGCCTGAACTGTTTACATTTGTTTTGGGCACTTCTTTAAAAGTTCCCTCTACCCACTGTGCGTGGTTTGAGTTTGGTTCCTTTGTTTTGATATCAGCTGTGCTGCTGCCGTCAACACTTGTTTATAGATGTTGGGGCTTGGCCGTTTTTTTTTTAGCGTAGTCCTGTTTCTCTTACTGTGACTAACTGTGCTCTGACACGCGAGCTGGATCATAGTTTATCTGCCTGGCTGTGTGGGGCTGCCTGTGGAGGCAGCCCCATACAGGAGGCATATCTCTGCTTCTTTCTGTATGTCTTCTTCTATCTCCTTGAACCCAGGTTGGCTTCAGCAAATGGCAACTCACACTGAGCCTGGTTCTGCTGCAGGTTTCTTCCTGCGTGCTTGGTATGAGGAATTGCTTTCTAGTCAATGAGTCGATGCAATCAACTATTTTTCCTTAGATTGAACACTTTGATTCAGTTTGAGTGTCCTCCTCCTCCCTTAGATAGAAAACTTTAAATAAGTTTGACTGTATGATCTACTTGAATTGTCTCTGTAAAGTTCCTTGAGATGACATGTGTTGAGAATTTGCGTTATATACATGGACAGAATATACTTGAATTTTGGCCCTCCCTCAGAGGACCCAATCCACCAACTCATCTCCTGTCTCTATGTCAGTGTTTAGTTTCAACTTATCATTATCATTATCGATATGACCAACCAACAAATCAGAAGCTGAGCATTTGTCTGTATTTTTGTCCAAATCAAGCCTTGACAAATGCTTAAATCGATCCAAAGTTGCCTAAATTTTTTTTTATTAAGTCTAAAAAAACACTCCGACTGTCAAGTGCTGAGGTGGCGGCATCCTTATGTGTATTTTTTATTTTTTTTACTTTGTGGGGGATAAGTGCAATACAAAGAAAAACTATATCAATATGGGAAGATAACATTACATGGAATTATTGAAGTATCATCTTAAGACATCAGCCAGAATTTTTTTGAGTAGTTATTAGAAAGTATAATTCTTGCCCTGCATCTAAATCTGGTTTCAAAACATACTGTACAAACCATACTGATTAACTAATAAAATGAAAATTAGTTTTAAATATCTATTCATAGAAAGAAATATAAATAAAAAACTTAAAAATATTTCACTGTAAATGTAATGAATATCTGTATTGTGTGAATTCCACACTGTAATTGTATAAAAAAATGTATTTATATTCTAGGGTATCACAATGCATATGTAACATTATGTTTCATATGGTCAATGCTAAACTGAGTTAACAGTTTTTCGAAAGCTTCTGACCAGACTAAAAATCTTTCTAAGAGCAAAAATTGGACAATGGTTATGTTGAAGAAGAAAGTTACATGAATTGAGACAAATGAGCCATTTAGAGAGTCACAGAGAAACACATTGAAAGAGACTAAGCAATACAGAGGCATTGTTTCTTAGCAGGGGATGAAAGCGGGTTATGTCGCTGTCTCATCAGACAGGATTAAGTGCAGGATGCCAGACCCCTCCTCTGCAGTCCACACTAATAGAAATATGCACACTTGCATGCAGTGCCCCATTGCTTGAGGTTACAGGCAGGGTCGGTATGAGTAACTGACTTGACTATGCACTCTTTATGTGAAGTCGTCTGTGTTTTAGTCAGAAAAACTGGCTTAGATGAAGGGTTACAAAACAGCTTAACTGTCACACAACTGTTTGCTGCACTTGCTTTTTCATGTTTTAATGTCATTTGGCCAATTAGCGGTTAAATCTCTGGATCCATTCCTACATTAAAGTGTGATTTATGAAATGTATTTATTATAAATAAAACACATTTTTTATTCAAATATACAATCAGGGGCGTGCACACATAGACACTAGGTGGTGCTAAAGCACTAGGAAGTTTGCCCTCTATCAAAGAAAATGCCCTTTTGAAAC